AATTTTAGAATTAGTTTAGTATTGCATCAGTCAATTCCAAATGAGTAATGTATACGTCGCTCACGTAGAACTAATGGGAAACCCGATACGCACATTTTTCATTTGAACAGCCTTACTGAGGTTTCTCTGTGGGCTTTTTGCAAGGTTTACTTATTAGTATACACTTTTAATATAAATTAAATATAATAGGTTTCTAATATAGGAATCCTTTTTAATTAATAGTCTCCGGTAGGCTCTCCTGATAAAATAGTTGCAAATAATGCTCAGCAAATGATAAGAAATAGATTCCATTTCAAATATGACTATACGAGTGAATTATAAAAAGAACGTTACAATAAACTAGATAGCATTAATCTATACTAATATTATAAAGAGGTAAAACTTGATTATAATATTTAATCTCAAAAACTAATCAACCGATGAACTCAACAACTACCCGTGCTAAGCCGAGCTAAATAGCTAGTGTTAATTATATTGTACATTTAATGTATAACATATGATATCTTTTTAAATTAGTCTTTTTAGATATATCAACAAAACTGTCAATTTTGTAATGGATTGCAATGTAATGTAAATTGAAACTTAATGGATTATAATGTTTCGTCTATCACATCAGCAACAGCTGCTGTCAAAATACTTCTGGCCAAACCTATTGGGATACAGTTGCCTACATATTTTATTTTTATTTTTTTTTTTATACAAAAACCAAATGCAAACAACTACTGAGAATATTGGAATCAATTTACACAACCAAAGCAAAACACTCTATAATTAACTATTGATATTCGTTTAAGATTCTCAATTGACCTTTAATAGATTAAACCAATAAACCATTAATTCTACTGATGAAATTGAAAGGTGAACGTACGATTACGGAAACAAACGAACAGAGGTCGCGCGATGTATGACGAAAACGTTTTAAACTATGACGTAGCCCGTGTCACGTAGTTAAATGTAATATGTCGCAACTTTCCGCATCAACCAACACGGCAGTCTATAATATAAACCGCCTACTTTATTATTAACAATATCTCTTTAGTCTCGCTAATCACAATGTTTGCGGAAATAAATTAAATAGTAGAAGTAATTAATGTAAATGATAGTAATTATTGGTTCCTTTAAACAAATTCCAAAAGGAAGAAAGGCTGTCGATTTATCTTTATATTTTTCTGGCTATGTGCCGCGATTACGTCGGCAAATTCGAATTTATTTCAATAAATCCTTTTTACAAACGCAGAAATTACTAAGTCTTAGTATTGAGACGATTGAAAAAACCGTTTTTCTCTGCGGAGTAAAATCTACTCGTAGACACAATTCCGTGTTCTAAATCCAAATATTTGTCGCAATTGAAGTTTCTGTTTTTTACGAAACAAACTCTGTTCTTGTTAAGAGTCTGTCTTTATTCTAGCTAATCACAATGTTTACGGAAATCAATTGAAGTAACTGGTTGTAGTATTCAATGCAAATAATAGCAATTATTAGTTCTTTTTCTCCATGTGAATACAATTGAATAGAGTATAAAATAGATAGCAAATTAAAGTCTCAAGCCCAGAGGGGATTGTACTTTAGTACTGTGTAATTTAAACAAAACGTATTAAACAATTTATAATTTTCCCTCGTAAACTTTGTGAAATAACAGTCAAATAAAGTACTGTTTATTATCATTTTATCTGTAAAGAAATTGCAAAGTCAAAAACAATAACTGGTAGGTTTAAAAGATCAAAAGTTAAATGAAAATTACTACGAGAATAGCCACATAATTGTATTTTAATATCATTTGTATCTTCTCGGGATAATTAAAACCATTTTTAAAAGAAAATTTAAATCTTACTTTTTTAATATAGGTACATGTAATATCTATAATACACTACAATATTAGAAAATTATGGAGTCTTCACAAAGAAAGGAGCAGGCGAACACAGTGATACTACGAGAATTCCGTTTTCACAGAATTAGAAATAAATTATTACAGAGTGATATTGTATTTAAAAAACATGAACGCAATATTGTTGAATATTGTTCGAAGTTGTAAATTATATAGTTCAGATCTCTTTCGAACAGACACTTTGTTCTTTTGACGACAAAAGCAAAAGTGAAACGCAGAGTCGGAGCACGTTCGACTATTGAACGTCGTACAAATTCAATTTGTAATATCTATATTGACTCGATATAGGACTTTGACGATATAGTATTATATTTTACTTTAAACAACACGTTCCTGAATACACCAATGTTTATCTAAATCACAAATGAAGTCACAAGTCAGCATATGTATAATCAAGAAAGAACAAATGTCAAGGTGAAAATATTTTTACACATTACACAATAAGCTTTATATGCCTTTGCGGCGATGATTTAAAGAAATCGTGTACAAAGTATAAGTACTAATAAAATGAATGTGATTTCGGGTACACAGCTCAATTGCAGGTCAATTTAGTGGATTGAAGAAGTTAATAACTATATTAATACTGTATAAAATATTTCCATACTTATACTAGTACACTTTTATATTAGTTAAATTAATAATTAATAGAAAACTACATAATAAAGCGATTATATGTCAAAGTTGAGCTTTGACATATAATCTGCAAACTAATTATTAATGGACCCCCCTATTATCCTTGATCCGATATTTTACAAGTCACATGGCCAACTGGCATGAAATTTATTTCGCACACTTCTACAAAATTCCAGATATGTATATGAAATCAATCGGAAATTTGAAAACTGAAAGTGTTATTAAACTTGCTCATATTTACATTTGCCGACTGCAAAGATGTTAACCCCAGGACTTTACACTGGAACAAGGACGAGATGCTTAAAATTTATGGCCGACGACGAGTACGAAAATATAAAATGACGGCTAGCAGTATGCAACATAACAGATGTATTTTGTGTTTTACTCTTAATGCAGACTGTAACTAAAAGAAAAGTAAACCTGTTAATGTAAACTATAATACCAGTACGTATAGATAGAGGAATATGAATTATATATATATCCATATTACAGATATCCAGATAACCCTAGTACGGTAACAATTTTGACGAAAGAGATTTTTATCAGAAATTGTAAAATGGTCCTGCTTGACTAGGTCGATGATGAGCTCCCAGTCAATTAATTAGTAATGTCTCTAAAGAAAAACCCAAACTGTTTAAAAAAAATTATCTAGCTAATTTTCGATATTTCAGCTGTATCTAAGACATGAAAATAAAACAAAAAAAAAGCAGAAGAATGATAAATTACGACCAGATATGAGTCAAGTTTGGTGAATTTCGTCCTCAACATATGCCCTTCATGGAAATGTAAACGTGACGTTGTACGTATGTTTATTACGAAAGCGGCCAAGTTTTATAATGTGTACACTGTATATGATGAAGCCTTATGTATTTGTCTGTCGTCTGATAAATTCAGACGACAAATATGTGGTCTCATCGTGGTTTAATACCGCTACTGGTATCCTTTGAAGTTAGCACACTAATTATACGTCAGTGTCAATGCAAGTTTCAAGTAGAGAATTGAACAATTTCGTGCTCAGAAATTATTAGAGTGCCTTCGAGTTCTAAACTATTTCGCAATATCTTTAGTGATGCTATAGATTCAGCATTTATTTTTACAACTTTACTAAAGTTTTCTAATGTGTAATGATTAAATGATAGGAACAATGTGATTGATTTATTATTATAAATATTAATCAATAGCAGCCTTCAAAATAATAGTTTGTATATTACTTTGATAGTACTTACGAGTACCTTTTTCTATAGTTTAGCTTAAATGTATTATATTCTAGCCTCTAAGAGTTTTCCGATTTAAATCTTTAATATCATGTTTCATATAAAATAACTGATTTCATTTAGGATTCAATATTTCTGGTTTATATAGAAAACCGCCAAAAGTTTGAAACTCTATATTTCAAAACGAAATTTGAAAAGTTCCATTACGTTTTGATAAAGGTTCTTATGATAATTTGTACAATACTTTATGTGACTTAGTTTTAACATTGAAATGGAGTTAGTGGTTTTATTATAAAGACTTTGTCATAAATAATATTTACATTGATTTTAAGCACATCGTTGTTTTGATAAGAACCGAGCTCGCGCAAATATGATAGCGACACCAGATTTATCAAGATGACAAAATCGTAATATATTTGTCGCTTGTCTAGTTAGCCTCTATAAATTATTAATATTATCTTGAACTATAGCATGGAATTTTTCATATTACAGCTATAGATTATGTACCGTCAAGAAATGAAGTTGATGAAAAACGACAAATACAATTAATCTTTTTACCGCATCCTGCACTAAAGAAATCGAACAATTTAGATCATATCAAAAATATGACCCGAAAACCTTGGTGGATTTTGTTTTTAAATACGTAAATCAATTATCGAAAGTGATAAATTATAATATTTAAGAGTTATCTTTTAAAACGCTACGCGGAGTTAACAGTAACAAGTTGTACCGCTATTTAATTTTTATGAAATCTATTTTTTGGGATATCCTGTATTTCTTAACCGACAATTTTATTTCGTATCTGCTTATCATTATTTATTAGCTTTCCGTTGTATATGTCGCAAAATTTATAATACAATGTACCTAATATTTTACTTGCTATTGTCTTATGTGAAGGAAGTACGTGAAGTGCATTAGATTGATCAAAGTCTGACTCATCATGATGGATGACAATGTTCTAGTTTAATAGCTGTACTCAGTAACCCTGAAAACAGTGCGCCCAGTTCACAAACAGTAACAATCAGTCTTAGAGCATTAGGTCAAGGAAAACAGGTTTTATGGTGAACCATATTCGTACTTCCATTCTAATTCCTACACCGAATGTGAGGTGGACAACATTATTCTTGCATTGCAATCATTAAGTATTGATAATAATAATTCTTTGATATAATTGAATAACACTGACTTATTATTAATAGCTAATTAATTTAAATAAAAACAATAACAATTGATCAAAATTATTCATAGAAAATGTGAACTTTCTATACCTGTGTTTTAGCATATTGTCAGGGACAAAAACATTCCACCAGGACGGTCGCTTTTGACGAACGTACACTGGAGTCGAGGAGGGAGTATCGCTTTCTTCATCTGTATCGTTGCCTCCCGATTTCCGTCTCTTCTTACGTTCAAGCTGTAGACGAGCCGCCCACGAGCGTCGCCGTCCCTTGTCACTGCGACCGTACATTTCGCCTTCGACTGGGACAGCGAGGGACGCTCGGCGAGGTAACTCCGGTGGTGGTTCATCGAATTCAGTCAACTTTCTGTATCTTTCAGAGAAAGTGGCATCTGAAGATCTTCGACCGTTGGAGGTAGAACGTAATGGCTGAGGCACTTCAACTTCAGTGAAGGCCTCATCATCGTCCATATCGGGAAAAGCTTCTTCACTGTAGCGGCGTGGCGTTTCATCAGCTGCCTCTTGCAAGCTGGCGAGCGGTAAGCTGGGTCGGTGAGTGCGGAGCCCGCGGGGCAGACGCCCTGGCCGACCCTGTAGCCGCGCCAGGGCCAACGGCACCGGAGATTCGGTCAAGGTCGGCTCACTACCACTCATCATTGTAATTTCACTGCACTTTGTATTAATTTGTTAATTCACTGTGTGGAACTATCAACATTTTTACGGCTCCACCATTTTCGAAATTGACTGTTCGAAAACTTCAAGAACATCAAAAATACTGGCCGAGTATTTATACTGTTCTGTAGTTTCGTTCACTAAGTGAAGACACAATAGAAAATGAGACTATTTGTATTTTAAACCATTCCTCATAATGTAAATATATTTATTTACGTGGCATTACCAAGTTTATTAGTGTATCCAACGTATATTTATGATTCACAAAATAAATATCAAAATTTTCTTCTTTAAAAGTTAAGAATAAATGTAGGTACAATTTGGTTTTGCTTTTCAATTAACCCCGGAAAGATTATCAAAGGAATAAAGTAAACAGCGGCGCAGATGTTACCGAGCCCTATCTATCGTATGAACAAAGAATCTCGTATATCTCGGAGCTATAAACTTTATACGGTATAAATGAAAATCTTTTCTGAAAGATGATATCATTTATTTAAATACAAAAAAAAAAATATAAAAACCAGTATTACCTACTCAGCTGACTTAATCTGGCCGCGGATTATGCTTCTGCTAAAGCTTTATAGCAGCGCAGTATATGGCGCTTTCATTCACAGTGAGCGATAAATGAGTTCACATTACCAACAATGCGCCACACAATTTGGTTAATCATGGCCAATCAACATAAAATATTGAACTGAACACTACATTACAGCTATATCGAATGCCTCGCCCGATAATTACTGCGTAGTTTATTAAATTCTATAAAGCCAAGTTAAAATTCTTTGCAAAAAAAAGGTAAAAATTACTATATTCTAAAATATTTAAATAGTTATTCCAAGAATTTGTGAATTAAAATTTTACAAGCCCTATTACAAGAAATAGCTAAATGGGAACCTAATTGATGAAAAGCGATTACAATCGCCCATTAACTAAACGTTAAACAATTAATTTCTAATTAGTCAACCTTTGGAACTAATTAAAGTATATTAAAAATCTTCTAATTCCTTAATTCCCTTTTTTTCCATTTATCGATTGAATCAATCACTGTCAAACATAGCTAAAGACAAGCCTAATTAATAACAAGCTTCCAAACATAAATTCATATATGATGCCACAGCAGATAAAAGCTAACCTTACAAACCTTTTAGGTTTAAAAATCAGATATCTAATGCAGCTAAACACTCAATGAATGAAACGTTCCAACCAACCGTACCGTAATCGAATAGCTATAAAAAATTGTTGCAGTAACAAGTGCTACGCCATATAAGCAGGTGGTCGCAGCTTTCGTAACAGCCTGCCTGACGTCGGGCTGCGCCGCCGGCCGCGTATACGACGCGCCTCGGGGAAAGTTGTCTCCGAATTGCATAAAATAACCTAGCGACTTTGTAGTGTGTCTGCAGTTGATTTCAATAATGCTATTTTAGTATCAATCATATTTTGTTATCAAAGTTTGTAAATGCATCTTCGAAGAGTTGTTGTGTTTGAATACTGTGTCTTTTATTTATAATAGATTTCGTTCCACAAAAAAACTTCACCTACTACAATCCTGAAAGTTATTTTGATTTAAAAACCAAGGTACTGAACCGATTTTGATAAAATTTCTATTGGACCAATCTTAAAGTGTATCCTTTTAGATAAAAAAATATTTTTTCTAAATCGGTTTAGAAATGACGGAGTTGTAACAACAAAGATAACAAAAAAAAAACAACCGAGAACCTCCTTTTTTTTAAATCGGTTCATTAACTGCGTTTTCTATACAACTTAGAATGGCAAACAATCTGACGGCCCATCTGATGGAAAGTGGTATTTCATTATCATATCCCACCCTTCAAACCGAAACAGCCATGCAAACACAACTGCTTCACGGCAGAAATACGAAAGGTACTGAGGTGACTAAGCAGATTTTTGTAGAAAGTCTCCATTTGGTCTGCACGTCCGAATAACTAAAATAAAATCAAGTAAAGCACAAGTAGACCTCACGCTCCAAGGTTTCCCTAACATTACAAGTAAACGGCAATTGCAGTCTATGAACACTTTTAACTGGTGCTGGTGGTCTTATCCCCTGATATTTAAGCAACTTTAAAAAGCAAGAGGATAATAATTTGTTTTTTTGGTGTGTAAAGCTTCTGAGCTGTACGTTCGATCCTAACATTTGCAAGGCAGAAGATCTTTTGGAAGCCAATAACTGAGCTATTAGCCGTGGGAGGTTATGTGCTAAAAGCATCTGAATTTTTAACCATCAACAAAAAGAAGGTATATCTGTTACATTAATTCTTTTTACCATCTACAGTGTACTTACTTAACCTTAATATGTCAATCAAACGTACAGACAGCTTGTCTGCCCAATGTCACCGAAGAGATTAACAGCGGCGGACGTCCGACCTAACTCCTAACTTCATCTATAATTAGTAGCTTATTCCTAATTACTCGTATAGGTTATTGATCAGAGAAATCACAGACATTTGCCCTATAAGAAATATTATAGACAACTTTTACATTTGACACGTAACATTTATCTCGTACAGAATATGAAAAGTGATAGTAATTGACGTAATTTCATACTTGTTTGTAGCCTGTCACTTTATACAACTAATAAGTGCATAGTAAAAAATATAAAATTTGAATATTTATATTCTGTTTGAAGCCAAGAAAATGGTAGCATAAATATATAACTTTATACATAAATATATTTTTAATAAAATTTTAATGAAATAAAATATACGTATAATCATGTACTTTTTACTTTTAGATATTAAAAATATATTATATAATTATATATTATATATAAAATGAAATATTATGTGTAACTTAGGCTAAGAAAATCAAACAAAATGGCTTTAAAACTTTATACGATGATGATACTGCTTTTCATTTGATAGCTTGTTTACGTTATAGTTCAGTAGCGCCATCTACTTAGTAGATGTTTAAGATTTTATGTTTATATGTAGTTTATGTTTAAGATTAAGTTGTAGATTGTTAAGTAGAGTTTGCTTATGCTTATTTTCATAATCAAAATTTCTTTCTTAAAAAAAAATTAATCTTTTCTAATAATTTACCAAATTAGCAATTTTTTAAAGAATACTGTCAATTACCTACATGTATTGCAAAAATAAATTCTGGTACAATACTATTACAAGTTACCTAAGTGGATACCAGATATCAACTTGTTGACGTATTTGCGACCAGCGCTGGGAGTTGCGTATTTTTTCGCAATTTTTGGGTTCTATTTGGTAAAATCGAATCTATTTGGAGAAAAAACATTTAATATTTGAGTAAAACCTAAAATAGCATTTAGCAACCCTTCTCATGACATTGTTTAAAATCGACAAGATAAAAGAACCCACCGATGTATGTACTATGTAGCAAGACAGTATCGGTTCTAATTTTTATTAGGAAACATTAAGCTTTTGATGTTTCACGTTTACAATCCGTTTGAAGTGCCTACTGACGCCAGAATCATGTTTATTTGATTCACTATGACTATAAACATAAATCGCAAAATAATGAGCGGCAGATTTCAAAACCTTTAGTTACCAGGGCTAGACAGAATTCGGCTTCCCTCTCTGACATAATTTTAGGTTCACTTAGAGAAGTAAACATCAGAATCACCAATGTTATGATTCAAAATTAATGGGCAATACTACTAAGCCTTACTTTGAGTTTGTTTGTTTGGTACCTAAAAGACTTAATCAATCGCTATAAAATATAATTTACACATACTACTCATAAAAGGAACGAGAATGTTATAGGCTACTTTTTATCCCGACTAATAAATATATCCCAGTCCCGATCGCGGAGGAGGAGGAGGAGGAGGATGAGACAAACAAATTTGTAAACGGTGTGTTTTTTTTTGGTGGATGAAAATGGAATGGTAATCCCGCCTGCGCTAACGGGATACGCTGGCGGAGCACCAGTGAAGGGTGATCGATGAGAATGAGAACAGGCCAGTTAGTCCATTATGATGAATTCATTAGGAATTAACCATGATAGTTTCCAGGGGGAACCACGAGAAGGTCGACCTGGTTGGGTATATTGCTAGCAATGGGATTTTTAGTCTCCATTACTAACTATCCTCCTATTATCCTTTCCCCCCATAACGGTGTGTATTGTCAAGATATCATGCTGATGTTGATAGATATTAAATACTATCTAAATTCTATTCATGATTTTTATTGCAGTCATCAATTTACATTATACATACGATTCATATTTCCTATACTTCATGGGTTTTCCTTTTACGCGCATACGTGTAAATACCTACCTAAATTATATATTTCTTTTTATACTAAACAAGTAAGAATTTAATTATTTATCTAACATTATAATGTACTGGTACAGTATATTTATTACAAATTAATGTAAAATAATTCATAATAAACGTAAAAGTTTGTAAGGATATTTGTATATTTATTACTCATTGACGAAAAAAGTACACATTTGGATAAAATTTGATGTACAAATACATCAGATCCTATAAATATTAACATATCTGATCTATTACTTTTCCAGAAATTCATGCAAAGAAAGTTGCGGTATTTACTGAATATAATGTATTGTAACATTTTAGTAGATTAAATTGTTACTTTTTAGTAGATTAAATTTTATGTTTTCTTATAAATAAGTCGTCAAAATATATTACATTACGATTTATACTATATTATTTAATGATGAGTACTTTTAAAACTGTCCGCTGTGTGGTCCTGACATGGAATGGGTTAATTAAATGGGCCACCCCTTCCTTTCCCGTGGTTATTTAAAGAGGCGACTAAGGGAAATTAATGGTAAAGTGATATGCAGCAGCGTCCTTTTTAAAACATAACTAAAAGTCTAACTGCGGTTGTCAACCAGCCTGCCAAACGTGACAACTACTGGCAAAACCCTACTTATAGGGGAGGCTATGTTTAACAATGGACAGTTAATGTCTGATACAACAATGATGACTTTTTAAAACTAAACGACCCCATAAAGCCAAGCGGTTTGGCAATAACTCCAATAAAAATATCTACACTTATAAAATTTTATAAGATATTGGTTTCAAACCTTGGTAACATAGTTACAATCGTTGTTATAATGAAAAATATTGCTTTAAAATCACTATTCTGTTTTATGGTAATAACATAGAAGATGATAAAGCACGCAC